CCTAGTTTTTTCCTAAGAATATCCTAGCAGGCATTTATTCTTTCATTATTTTTTTATGCTTCCCTTTTTTAGATGCATGCTTGATCTTTGATTAAATGTCTTTGCACATATTTATGATTTATCAATAAAGAGACATTTCCATAATATTTGGTTAAGAGAAAGGAAGTGAAAAGGAATTTTATTGATAAATGAACAAAAGTTTATTTCTTTTATAGGAGGATTTCAAAAGGTATTTAGAAGAATAGGTGGTCAGGGTTGGCTGTACTGTTTAGGCTTATACAGTCATGTCCATGATATCTGCCCCCTGGTTCTCCTAATTGCTTCAGTTGAGATGCCTGAGCTCAGAGTGAAGACTACGCAGACTGCTTGCTTCTGGAAGAATGTTACCTTAGCCGCCTTTCGGTTTTCGACTAAGGTAACCATTACTCTTAGTTAGTTTTTTTTATTTACTTTTTTTTTACCTCTTCTTTTTGCCTAGGACGTATCCTAGCGAGGAATATGGACCCTATCTTTTGCCCAGGAATGTCCTTTGCGGATTTTCATTCGTGACGGGTCTTGAGCAATGTCTTCAAGCATAATACTTCTTCACCGTAGCGGAGTTGATTAGGTGTCGAAGTTCCTCTCCATCCATATTGATGAGGATAAGAGCCCCTTCCGAGAAAGCTCATTTGACCCCAAGGGGTCCTTCATAGTTCAATGCCCATTTTCCAATTTTATTGTTTTGGGCTGGAAGCAACATATTTACCATTAAATCCTTCTTTTGGTAAATATGAGGGTTGACCTTTTTGGTAAGCCTTTTTTATTTTCCTTTGATAGGCTTGTCCGTGACATATAACATTCAGCAGTTTTTCTTCAATAAGGTTTAGTTGGTCATATCGGCTTTGAACTCATTCAAGCTTCGTTAAGTTTACTTCCATCATCATGTGCTTTTGTCGACATGATTAGATGTACCAATTTGCCGTCTCGGATCTTTGCTATAACCGAAGAGTAATCATTTTGAATGTAGAGCAACTGTCATGTCAATGCCCCTCTTCCTTTCCTTAGGGATTTCAATCCTCCTATTGATCACTATATTTCCACATTTCCCAGTCAATTACTTGAATGCTTTATGGTGAAAGGTCAAGAGAATAGAAAGAAAGGGGTTTATCACAAAGGCTTGTGTTTTAGTGAGATTCTTTTTATGAAATAATAGTTTCTGTACGAATGGCTAGCCAAGGTTGGTCGGTGTTTAAGCTAGTTTAAACAAACGTTTTGTTTTTAATGAGGTGGCGTCTTCAACTGATTACTTTATGGCACCTATTTATGACTAATTAATTTTCCTAGTCCGCCCTTTTGGGTTTTCGGCCTAGGATGCTGTGGTATGTCCTAACTTTTGTCTAGGTTCCCCTTTTTCATTTTTTGGGATACCTAGCAGACTTTATTTTGTCTATGACGCTTTGATTATTTTGACGTATTTTGGAACAAAACGTTTGTCGAAACCTTAGTTATTTATGGGGTATAGACATTTTTAGTGAGAAAAGAAGCAGATAGTAAGAATAGCATTCTTTTGTATTTCAAAGGGAAATGCGTTCCCTAAAGATGCTCGGGGGTCGGGCACACCCCGAGGAGTGATCTCTAATAGTCATTAGGTTTACGTCCCTTAAAATTGGAAGAAGGACATCTAATGACTAATGCTACCCTTGATGCTAATATCCCTCCTTTTCGGAAGATCGTCTTTAAGGTATGGAGGGGAGACTTCTCTTTTCTTTGTATGACTTGATCTTTTGTAGGGTCGTACTTTCAAGGATTATCCTTAAAATCTGGTGGCTCTCTTATTCTTTGAGCATCCTTTCCAAGCCCTTGTCCTGGGCTATATTGAGCTTATTTTTCCAACAGTCTTTGCATGTCCGGGGAAATGGTCCCCTCCTCACTGTCTGACTCAATCCATTCGCCTTTGGCTTTCAGATCCCGCAGAGAGTTTTCAATCACAGACATGACTGTTTATATGGTCTATATTTGGGTTTAGATTTTATTTAATTATTTTGGAATGAGAGAGAAAAGAATGAGAAGCATATGAATATTATGAAAAATGCCTCATTGTATTGATGAAAAGAGAAATATATACAGAATCCCTTTAATCAAAAGATCTCGCGGCCATGAGCAGAGACCGCGAGAGATGCATCGGAAGCTTTTTTATTATTATTATTATTATTATTTATTTTTATTTTTTTTTTAACCAAAAGATGCACAAAATGGGGAGCCCTAGTTAGCTGGACTTCTCTACCCAGGCTCACTATTCTGGTTGTGACAGAGGCGTGTCATCCACTTAAGGGGTTGGAGCATTGAAAGTAATCCACCCGGCATTCAACAATTCTTGAACCCTATATTTTAAGTTGATGCAATCTTCCACAGAATGCCTGGGAGCGCCTGAGTGGTAATCACATTTTTCGTTGAGTTTGTACCAACCGGGGTAAGGTGGATCTTTCTTCTTCGGAGGGATACGTGTTAGGAGCTTGGCCTCTAACAGCTTTGGCAACAGACATCCATAAGAGGTTGGAATGGGGGTGAATTTCTTCTCTTGTCTGCGTGACTGCCCAGATGGTGGCGAAGAGGGAGAAAGAGTAGTAAGGTTGATGGCATTTACGCTTCCTTCCTTCTTCTGGCCAAAGGACTTTTTAACATTTGGAGTAGAGGAATTGGAGGAAGTATGTTGTGCAATTCTTCCGTTTTTCAGACCTTGCTCTACTCTTTCTCCTATAATTACCACATCCGCAAAGAGTGTTGATGTGTTCCCTATCATTTTGTCATAATAGGGACCAGTTAGAGAATTGATAAACATGGATGTGGTTTCTTTGTCAGACAGAGGAGGTTCTACTTGTGCTGCCAATTCCCTCCATCTTTGGGCGTATGCCTTAAAGGATTCGTCGTCTTTTTTGCTTAGTAATTGTAGATCTGCTCTTTCAGGTGTCAGATCAATATTGTATTTATAGCGACGAAGAAAAGCATCTGCCAGATGTCTCCATGTTTGGACTTGCCCTCCTTGTAGTTGCATATACCAGTTTAGGGCTGATTCAGCTAAGCTCTCCTGAAAGCAATGGATCAGGAGTTTCTCATTATCAGCATATGCAGCCATCTTATGGCAGTACATCGTAAGATGGCTTTTGGGGCATGTTGTTCCCACGTACTTTGGGAAGTCCGGAGTTTTGAATTTATTGGGGAATTGGATGTTTTTAACGAGGCACATATCAGCCGCCTCTTTGACATCAAAGTTATGCCCCTCCATAGCTCTCAGCCTCTCTTCAAGAGCAGTAAGTTGTTGTTTTGATACTTCCGGAGCATGAATATGTACTGCCCTTGTACCAGATTGGTCATGCTCATCATTGGGTTCCTCCTCTTCTTCTTGGTGGGAGGCTTGTCCACTTTGAGGACCTTCCTTATGGAGATTTTGCTGGCGCATCATTTCCAGCATTTGAGCCATTTGCTCTTTCAGCATGTTGAGCTCAGTGGTGAGCTTTCAGTTTTGCTCCTCTAGTTGCTCCATCTTCTTGGCTTTTTGAGCGCGAGTGAGAACAGGTAGAAGACCAGCCACTTTCTAAATGATTTAAAGATTTTTATTATAGCTTTTTATTTTAAACGATTAGTGTGAGATAGATATGTCTTAGACAATAGCTTTGGTATCTTCTCAAAAGCCTATGTTTTAAGGGTACCATACCCACCTTAGTGTGTTAACTTCCTTTTTTTTTAAAAGGTTGCCAACATACCTTAGCGCACTTATCTCTTCTAGGAAGGTGATAAACGCACTTGGGTCTCTTTCGCTATTGTCTAAGGATATCTAATGCATCCTAGAATGAGTGTGTTTATGCATGCACTACAAAAATATTTTTTTATGACAGCATATATTGAAAGTGGAATATGTTTTGACTGGGTTGTCCGATTTCGACGTACAGCATGTCAAAACGAAGAGAAAAGGGTGAAGAACAAGGTTACAAATCCCCAACGGGAATTTGGCCCAGTAATTTTCCCAAAAAACGCTCCTAAGACCCATTTTTTGGAGGTTTATTAAAATGATGTGCATGCTGCAATTATTTTCTCTCTTAGTTTTACCACTTATTGGATGATGTGGTATGAATGATACGACTTTTCCAAGAATCTTTTTATTATAAAAAGGAGTTTTTATGGCTTTCATTCGTTTTTACATTTTTTATGACCCTTTATCTCTTCTGTCGGTCAACGTGGCTACTTAGCTTACAAAGAACCTGAAACCAGGCTAGCTTAACTGAAGACTGTCCGAGATAAAGGTGGTTATCTTATCACCTTTTGATTTTTAGGGTTTTTCATTTTTTGTTTGTTATATGATTACCTTATGCTAATGCATCAATACAAATGCAGCAAATGAATACACACACAATTCATTCACCCACGAGCAGAGCCACGCTTATTTAATCACGAGGTAGGGTTTTCCTGCAGAAACGTGCTTGGTTTAGGTGGTTCTAAACTGTTCTCACCAAGGCCAAAGGTCCCCAAGGTGCCCCCATTATAGGGACCTCTCAATCTCTCAGTCCTCGGGTCATGCACGGAACTCTGTGGCGACATCCTTAGACCAAAAGAAGGGAGTTATCACCTTGAGTTGGTGGTTTCCGACAACGGTTGTAGCCCCGTGTGCCAACAAGCCGGTCGTATCTGCCACCCACTCCCTATAGGTATTCACTCTTGCCCCCGGGTATAGAGGGACTGTTGTGTGCAAGGGTTTTTGTGTGCAATTTATATTTCAGACAATTTGCAGAAATAATCATACAGCAGTTATTAAAGCCATACAATAAAAATACAAAAAAGGGTAAAGGCATAATTTCAAATCTTTACTTAGTTTGAATTTATCCGTCACTAAATGGGATCAACTCTCTAGCTTCCCCAGCGGAGTCGCCATCTGTCGCCGTCGTCCGTTCCGACGTCCTGGGACATCTCGAACGTTAATGCGAGCGGTCGCGAAAAGATGGTTGAGACTCGCGTTTTTTGTTAAAAATATGTTCATTGCTTCCGAGGCGCTCAACGCTGAACTATCCTCTAATAGAAGCAAGGTTTTCGAAAAGGGTTCTTTTGGAGTCGCCACCAATGTTTTGACCATAAACATTGGAAAAGGAGAAAAAGGCATTGATTTTAATAAAAACCAAACTTGGCCATTATAACCAGAGTCGGGTAAGGGAGTTAGTTACGTGTGGGGAAGGTATTAGCACCCCACAACGCCCCTTTCGGGTTCCCTATGACGGATTAATTCATTTAAGTAAAGATTACAAGAAATTACGCTATTACCCTTTTTTATTCGTACAGTATTATAATTATCTACATGGTTTATCTACATTGCATACAGAAAGCAGTAAATAAAGCAATAAAAGGGAAGAGGATTGAGAAGAACCTCCGAAGCAAGCTTTATATTATAAGTCTTTTATACAGAGGATGCTTTGCGGCAATCCTTCACTCTACAATGACTCTTCTCTCGAATAAACTCGACTCGACTAAAATTTTCTAGAAGAATCGAATGCCGGAATACAAATTCCTTAACTGATTGTTACCTATTAAAGGCAATCAGAGAGATCATTCGAAGGAGGGAGAGAAGAAGACAAGTCTTGGAGTTGTCTGGGGTGTGGAAAATGAGCAAATGAGCCTCCTATTTATAGTTTTTGCTGCCTGGCACTTTTGGGACGGCCGTCTGGGTTGGGACGGCCGTCCCAACTGCATGTTTTACAAAGGCTGGGACTTGGGACGGCCGTCCCACATGTGGGACGCGCGTCTCACTTGTCCCAGGATAGTTGGGACGGCCGTCCCAACTTTGGGACGGTGGTCTCGACCTGTTTTGTCCAGTTTTTGTGTTCTGGGACCCCGGGAAGCTTTCCTTGCTATTTTTGGACATTGGTTGATGTCGATAGACGTCCATTGAAGCTTTATCTTTATATGGGAAGTCTTCTTGACCCTTATTGAGATGCCGGATGAACTTTTATCTTCGTTTATAGGAGGTCTCTTTGGCCTTTGGATGAACTCCATGTGATTGTAGGAGGTCTTCTTGGTGTTTATTGATAAGCTGGGCGATCTTTATCTTCGTGTGCAGTTTCCCTAGCTTTTATTGAGAGGCCGGGCAAAATTAGGGGTCTACACATCTTCGAAAAGGAGGTCTTCTGGTCTTTATTATGAGGTCGGGCAAGATTTGGGGTCTACAGGAATCATTTGGGGATTTGTTGATTTAGATGGTGCCTCTGAGTAGGCTAATCCATTTGGGCATAGAGCCTTGTTTTGAGTGCTTTCTGTAAACACAAGCATGGAGCTAGTCTCCTTATGTGGATGAGTGCTTTTCGTTATTTATCTGATGCGATTTATTTTTTGTTATTTTATTTTTGCTTTTTTTCGATTTTGACAAAGTCGTTTGGTGCAACTACTTTGTGTGGATGCCTTAAATGCAATCTATTTTTATTCGATGCATCTAGAAAGTGACTGGTATTTTGCTGATGGGATTTTCTTTATGGTTTAGCCCCATCTTTTGCCTAGACCGCCCCTTTGTGGGTTTACGATCTAGCAGGCCACCTTAATTTTTGCATAGGATCTTAGCGGGCTTTTTTCTTTTTTATGAGTGCCTTAACTTCTGCCTAGACCGCCCTTTGCGGGTTTTCGATCTAGAAAGCCGCCCTAATATTTTGTCTAAGAATGACCTAGCAGGCACCGTTTTTTATCTTTTTCTTTGCCTTCCTTGTGCTTTCTTGTGTTGGTTCTTTATGCATATTCATGTTTTTTTAATACAGAGGCATTTTCATAAATTGGTTAAGAGAAAAGAAGAAGTGAAAGACAATATTTTTAATGTAAGCAAACGGTTTATTTTTACAGAAGGATTTACAAAAGGGATTTGGAAGCACAGTTGGCCAAGGTTAGCTACACTGTATAAGTTATAACAATCATGTCCCTAACATTTGTCTCTCTGTTTCTCCTGGTCGCTTTAGTTGAGATGTCCGAGCCCGGAGTAAAGACCATGCGAAGTCTGCTTGTTTTTGGAAGGGTATTACCTTAGTCGCCTTGCAGTTTTCGGCTAAGGTAATCATTGCTCTCCTCTTTTTTTTTTTTTTTTTTACCTCCAATTTTTGCCTAGGACATGTCCTAGCGAGGAATAGGGACCCTATCTTTTGCCCAGGATGCTCTTTGTGAGTTTTCGTCCTGACGAGTCATGAGCAATGTCTTTAAGCATAATATTTCTTTACTGCATTTGAGTTGATTGGATGTCAAAGCTCTTCTCCGTCCATATTGGTGAGGATAAGGTCTCCTCCTGAGAAGCAGTTTCTTTATTACTAGGTCCCCCTCGTGATAAGTGTGGGGGTTGAATTTTTTGTCGTGGGCCTTTCTGATTTTCTTTTGGTAGGCTTGTCCATGACATATGGCATCCAGTCATTTTTCTTCGATTAGGTTCAATTGGTCATACCGATTTTGGACCCATTCTGCCTCTGTCAATTTTGCTTCCATAATGACTTGCAGGGAGGGTATCTCGACTTCTACTGGTAGTACGGCTTCCATGCCATATATGAGGGAGAATGGAGTGGCTCCGGTGGAGGTTCGTACAGAAGTTCGGTATCTGTGCAGGGCGAATGGTAACATTTCATGCCAATCTTTATATGTTATTACCATCTTTTGGATGATTTTCTTGATGTTCCTATTGGCTGCCTCTACTGCACCGTTCATCTTGGGCCGGTATGGAGATGAATTGTGATGCTGAATTTTGAAGTTTTGGCATAATTCTTCCATCATCTTATTGTTCAAATTGGTCCCATTGTCAATAATGAGACGATGGGGAATGCCATACCGACACAGGATATTCTTCTTGACGAAGGTGGTCACTACTTTTCTGGTCACATGTGCGTAGGATGCTGCTTCTACCCATTTGGTAAAATAGTCAATGGCCACCAGGATGAAACGATGGCCATTGGATGCCTTTGGTTCGATGGGTCCAATAACAACCATGCCCCACATGGAGAAAGGCCATGGTGTAGTCAAGACGTTAAGGGGTGTCGGTGGGACATGAATATTGTCGGCATAGACCTGGCACTTGTGACATTTTCTAGCATACTGGTGACAATCGCCTTCCATTGTGGACCAGACATATCCTGCCTTTAGGATCTTTTTTACCCTGACATGCCCGAGTGTGTGGGTCCCAAAAGCTCCTTCGTGAATCTCCTTTATCAAGGTTTGTGCTTCTTCATGATCCACACACCTTAACAGAGTGGAATCAAAGTTCTTTTTATAAAGGGTTCCTCCAATCAATGTGAACCCCATAGCTCTCTTTCGAATGGTCCTTTTATCATTCTCATTAATTCCCTCAGGGTATTTGCCCTTTGCAAGGTATCGCTTGATGTCTTGATACCAAGGGTACTCGTCTTCCTTGCTAGTTAATGTCATACAAAAAGCTTGTTTATCATGCAGCCTTATTTGGATAATAGGTATCTCATGTTCTTGATCTAAGGTGAACATGGATGACAAGGTAGCAAGCGCATCTGCGAACTGATTATCTTCCCGAGGGATGTACTCAAAAGTGACATTTTCCATCCTCGAAATCATATTCCGGATATGCTCTAGATATGGGATTAACCTGGAATTTATGGTTTCCCATTTACCCTTGAGTTGATATATGACAAGGGACGAGTCACCGAAAACTTTGAGTTTGGTCACCCCATGATCTAAAGCTGCTTGGAATCCCAAGGCACAGGCTTCATACTCAGCCATGTTATTGGTGCAGTCGAAATTTAACCTAGTTGTTACTGGGATGTATTTCCTTTCAAGGGATATCAAAATGGCTCCTATCCTGTGTCCAAGCATGTTCGAGGCTCCATCGAAGAACAAATTCCATGCATCGTCTTTGGGTACATCATGTTGAATATGCATGATGTGCTCATCAAAAAGTCATCTTGTAGGGATTGATATTCGTTTGTTGACCCGTGTGCTAGGTAGTCTGCTAGAGGACTTCCTTTGATAGCTTTTTGGGTGAAATAGATGATGTCAAATTCTGAAAGGAGTACTTGCCACCTACCTATTCTTCCTGTTAGGACGGGTTTTTCAAACAGGTATTTGATTGGGTCCATTTTGGAAACCATCCATGTTGTATGCCCACACCAATGCACAACATGTTTTTTTGAGCAGTGTTTAACGGGTCTCATAGACTAGGAATTTTTTACTGAGGTAGTATATGGCTTGTTCTTTCTTCCCTGTATCGTCCTGCTGACCAAGCACACATCCCATAGATTCATCAAGTACCGATAAATAAAGAATCAGAGGTTTTCCTTCAACGGGGGGCATTAGTACCGGCAGATTGGTTAGGCACAACTTAATTTTCTCAAAAGCTTGTTGGCATTCCTCATTCCAAACTGTTGGTTGATTTTTGCGCAACAATTTGAAGATGGGTGCTCATTTTTCTGTGAGTTGTGCGATGAACCTTGCTATGTAATTAATCCGGCCAAGGAATCCTCCGATTTCCTTTTCAGTCTCCGGTGGGGACATTTCTAAGATTGCCTTTGTTTTATCTGGGTCTACCTCTATTCCCTTTTTGCTGACGATGAACCCAAGTAATTTACCTGACCGAACTCCAAATGTGCATTTAGCTGGGTTTAGCTTCAGTTGATATTTATGAAGTTGATCGAACAATTTTCTCAAATAGAGGATGTGGTCCACCTCATTTCTGGACTTGGCGATCATATCATCCACATATACTTCTATTTCCTTGTGGATCATGTCGTGGAATAGTGTTACCATGGCCCTTTGGTAGGTGGCTCCTGCGTTCTTGAGTCCAAAAGGCATGACCCTGTAATAGAACGTTCCCCATGATGTGATGAAGGAAGTTTTTTCTCTATCTTCGGTAGCTAGCTTAATCTGATTATACCCCGCGTATCCATCCATGAAGGAATAAAGTGTGTTTGTGGCGGTATGATCCACCAACGTGTCGATGTGCGGTAGGGGAAAATCGTCTTTTGGATTTGCCCGATTTAGATCCCTATATTCTACACACACTCTGATCTTCCCATTCTTTTTCATGACTGGTACGATGTTAGCCAGCCATTCGGGGTATTTAGACACAATCAGGAAATTAGCGTCCAGCTATTTTTGCACTTCTTCCTTAATTTTTAAGGACCAATCGGGTTTCATCCTTCTTAACTTTTGTTTTATTGGCCAGAAACCCTCTTTCAAGGGTAGTTTATGCTCCACTATACTTTCGTCGAGTCCAGGCATATCATGGTATGACCATGCGAATATGTCCACATATTCTTCTAATAATTGTATTAACCTTTCCCTGATGTCGCTATCGATTTGAGTATCGATACTTATTTCTCTCTTATCGTCCTTCTATCCTGTCGCCGCCGTCAAAATGAGGCGGTCGAAGCGACGCGATGGTTTTGACTTTCCGACTTTCACGTTTTTATTGGTGTGGTTACAACGGCTTTAGGTTGTCCGATAACCGGGCTGAACCTAGAGGCGAGGTTTTCGAAAGGGTGCTCTTGGGTTGTCCGATAACCGGGCTAACCCAAGAGCTAATTTTTTGAAGGGTTCATCTGGAGTCGCCACCGATGTTTTTACTGGGAAACATCGGAAAAGGGATAAAAAGGCGTTGGTTTTCGAAAAACCAACTTTGGTCATTAGAACCAAAGTTGGGTAAGGGAGTTAGTTAAGTGTAAAGGAAGTATCAGTTCCTTTACGATGCCCCTTTCGGGTTCCCTATGATAGGCCAACTAGTTAAAATAATTAAACCGGTGAAAATACGCTTTTACCCTTTTATTTGCAGAATTTAAATTTATGACTACATGGCCCTAATGTCTATTGCGTCATTTAAAATAAGGCAGTAAAAGATAGAGAGAGAAAGTATAAACCTTCGAAGCAAGCTTTTCTATTAATTCTTTAAGAATACGGTGCTTTTTGGCA